TAAAACATAGGATACAATTGCTCACTACCCACTGATCAACACACAGCCAGGTCCCAAGCAGCGAGAGGCAGAGACAGGATCCTGAGGGCTGGAGCCCAAGAGCAATCGCAGCAGGGTCCAAGCCAGCCCCACGAGCAACAGCACAACCAGGAAAGCCAAATGACTTACCAACTCACTAACAAACGAGCAAGCTAACAAGTGAGCAAGCAAAGGAGCTATGGCCCCCCAGCCTGCTCCCTGCTAAACATGACATCTATGGAATGAAATCCCCCTTTGGTCAGTTTGGGTTAGCTGTCTGAACTGTGCCATCCCCCCACCCCCCTGCCTTGGAGTGAGGGAGTTGGGAACACAGTTGCAGTATCAGAAGATGAGCAAGTCCTTGAGTTGTGTAAGCACTCGCCAGCACCACCTAAAAAAACACCACTGTTATCAGCACTCTTCTCAGGGCAAATCCAGAACAGCCTCATACCAGCTACTGTGAGTAAAATTAACTCTGTCCTGACTAAAACCAGCACAGAAATGTCTAATGGTGGGCTCTAACACGCATTAATAATGCCCTCAAAAACACTATGCTGACAGCCACAAGCACTTGGACTTAAAAGTTTTAAAAGCCTCATTCTCACATGACTCTAGCTGTCTTTATTAGTCTAAGCACAAGATAGAAAGCCAAACAAACAAATGAGGAAGGAAAACAGTGAGAAACTGCTGGTGATTGAGTAAGAGTTGATGCGAGTGTTACTTTTATCCATAAGGTCCTTTCATTGACCTGCTTTCCCAGTTCCAGAGGCTTGAGGCCTGCTCTGCCCTGGAAAAGGTACTTCCCTCTCTAATGCTTAGTATTCAACAACCTCTAGTGGTTTCAGTTCGAATAGCAACGTGTTGGAACACATTTTAAATTGCTTTTAGGATCCATACCACAAGTAATCTGAACCATCAGCGTTCTTACTTATTAACCGGTGATTAACACCACAGTTTATGAATCAGAGGAATAATACATAGTGAAGGAGGGGACAGAGATTCGCTTATTCTTCCATTAGTAAGTGAACTGGTAAAAAGGCCGGCTACTACCAAGGTTTGCACAACAATCCCATGCACAGTGCTGCTACCCCGTAAAAACGTATCTACAAGGCCCTGGTTGCTGCTGGATATGTTAGCCAAAATTACACTAAGAAAAAAAACTTAGATGATCCTTTCAAGCTACAAACTCTAGGTAAGTGTAAAAACTCTTGAAAACAAAACTCCTGCAAATTTGCCACAGAAGAATGTGCACAGGAACAAACCTGTGTTGCTCAGCTTAACAAGCATGCTGAACTAAAGGTTTACAAAACAACTCCGAACTTTCAAGTTGTCATCCAGTACAAAATCACCAGTTTGGCACTTTATCTCTCATGCTCTGGTGTAAGAAGTGATCAATAGTATGTTGTAGTCTGGATTCCTAGAAATACGTTACATTCCAGGTTCCCAGAAATTTACGCATATGTTCAGCACAAGATTTCCCAGTGAGTCTCCTGCGTGTCTTCCAGTTGGGACTGGGACTCTAAAGCATTTACACGTACAACCAGCTTACGCAGTCAGCACTCTGATACCACAGAATGAACATTTACTATGGCATTTCTTCTACGCCTTCATGTAGATTACTTAGGGAAGTGACCTTATTTATGCCTTGAAAACAAAAGAAATTACAGAATAACCTGGAATTGAAGCAAGAATGAAGGTGTATTCTGACAACTGAAAAACAGCAGCATAGCCACTGAGCAAAACTAACCGTTACATGGCATCAAAGAAATAAGTGATTGCTTTAATTCATAACAATCTACCTACTGTTGTAAGGAAAAATTTCATTCAATAACTTGAAATTTTATTCAATTACCTTATGCTGCACTGCATCAAAAGAAGTGTGACCAGCAGGTAGAGTGGGGGGAGGGGGTATCTCCCACTCTGCTTACCCCTGGAAGTGTTCAAGGCCAGGCTGGATGAGGCTTGGAGCAACCTGGTCTAGTGGAAGGTGTCCCTGCCCATGGCAGGGGGGTTGGAGCTGGATGATCTTTGGGGTCCCTTCCAACCCAAACCATTCTGTGATTCTATCACTTAAAAAAAAAACAACTCCAAACCACCACATGATTTTACAGATTTTTAGAACAGTAACAACTTCATTATTCCGAATTTCCAACACTGCATGGAACCAAGCATGCTGCACTGATGTTCAGCAGTTACTTTTCTACATTACCCATTCATTGTGCTTCCAGTTGCAAGGAATGGCGAGTGGACTAATACAAGCAAATTATTTAAAAGACTAATTAGTAGATAGAGATGCAAGATCAAAAAAATGTCTTAAGGAAAGTCACCCAAAAAATCTCCTTTGAAATATTCCAGCTTAAGTGTCCTTATATAACCTTCTTTTTGAAATGGGAAAACAGTACGCTAACAAGTTTCAGATAAAGTAGCTCAGTTGCTATCCTTTAGCAATGTTTTATCCTCTCTCTCAACGTTCCCTCATGTTTTAGCAACAAACATCCTTATAAAGAAGTAACACATTGTTATTCATAGACTATTTTGGATAACTAAACCTTTACATACTTCTTACAAAGTAGAAAAATCAGATCCAACATTTAAGAGTTTCCAATAAGCTTTCTACTGAATTTTACTTCTAAGGGCCAAAATGACTGAAGATTAAATTTCATTCTCCACTGTGACAATAAAGGGCAGCAGCAGAAGAAAAGAACGAAGGCTGTATCTCAGCACTAAGCATCCATTCCCATTACTAAAATTCTCTCCCAAATAATACCATTGAAGACCAAGAAAAATCAGTGAATAACTACCACTGTTGGAAATACTCACCATTTCTCTGTATTAGCTAAGCAAGGAAAATAATCAATGCATTCCGTAACACCCAAAAGAAAAAACTGCAGTTAGGAAAGGAGGTAGTTACCTGTGGCCACGAATATCAGACTGATCACAAACTCCTCCTAAAGCAATTCTGTGGAACTCTCGACCCAAAGTCTTTGCAATCGATCTTCCAACACTAGTTTTACCAACGCCTGGGGGCCCCACAAAACAAAGAATGGGTCCCTTGAGGTTGTTTTTAAGCTGTCGGACAGCTAAGTACTCCAGAACTCTCTTCTTCAACTTCTCCATAGCATAATGATCATTATCCAAAAGAATTCGAGCTGCACGAATTTCAAGGCGATCTATGAATCATTGACAACAGAAGAGAGATCAGCACATTTCTCTTTAAAAATGGAAACAATTCATTCTACAATAGAATAGAAACAAACACATTCTCAAACATGTTCATCAAGGCAATCCCCCTGACACACACACAAATTTCAGGCAATGTTTTCCTAAACCAAAGGTATTATGATTCTCCTTTAATAAGGATATTAAGCCAGACAGAACACAGTAGGGATTAAGACATTTAAAACCAAACCAACCAAACACACAAACCCCACACACCTTTGGCTACTCATTTCTTCATTATTTTAGATACATGCCAGCACAGATTTTAAGTAATAACATCACCATTTTCCTGTCTAGATATTCTTAATAATTTTTAAATTCATATTCTCAGATGTACAACTGAGGTACTTGGGCTACTCATTATGCAGATCTTACTTTAAGCCAGGCAGACCATAAGACTGGAGTAACATATTAGATATTTGTACAACCAAACAATGAGACAAACACTTGAAAGACAGACCTGAGTACAGGGTTTACATGGTGGCTATCTGTCCTAAAATGTCAGTGCAAGAGACAATAACAACAGAAGGGTTTACCTTTTGTACTCTTGTTCCATGGCAATTCCACCATCAGTTCCAAGTAATTTCTTGTCAACGCATATTCTGGCATTGACTGAGGCATCTTCTTTAATCTGGAAATACATGCACAGAATTCATAAGGCTAATCAGGAATTAACTGTGAGGTAAGACTCTTTTGTACCGTAAGATAGATGTTTAGCAAACCTGAGGTCATCAGGACACCCTCTTACCTTCTGACAACCGTAATACTAAAAAAGCAAGTCACTATTCCCTTAATAAAAAGAGTGTCCTTGCATAATAACAGGTTACTTACAGGATACAAACAGAAAGGGAGTCAGTTCCCTATGCACACATAAGGCATGTGCCACTATGTATGTACCCTCGCTAAAGAGGTCATTTACCACCATATCACCATGGATAGCACAATTACCCCTCACCAGAGAAAAACAGGAAAAAAGACTCAGTGACTAGGTCAGTTTATTCAGTAAATAATGACTGTGGTGTTATTTAGCAGTTTTGGGGTTTTCTGGCTTTTGTTCAGGGTTTTTTTTGTTTGGGGGTTGGTTTTTTTTGGTGGTGGTGGTGGTTTCCCTCCCCCCCGCCCTGATCTTCATAACACAGAAGCTTAGAGCTTACAGTTTAATGCTGTATTAATATATAAACCTTATCTAGAAGACTTCATATTTGTCATCACCTCTGATGTTCCAGAAGGATGGAACAATTAAATTCATAAGCAAAAATCAGCACTATACTAATTTTTTAAAAATAATTTCAAACCACAGCCAACACAAACATATCAAGTAAGAAAAGGCTAATACAAGATTTGTTTTTAAAAAATAAAATAAGTGAAGAAACACACATTTGGAAGTCTCCTACCTCTTCATTTCCTTAAGACAAACTTTAAGAGCTTGTTCTGACATACTGGATGTTCTAATCTTTTTTTCCAGCATGACAACATCATCATGATCTTCCTCCTCCTCCTCATCTTCTGCAGTGCTTGGAATGTGATTGAGTCTTCTATTAGGACGAATAGCTACAACCTATGAAATGGAAAACAGAGCCAGAGAATAGTATCCGATTCTGGTTTTTAAATCAGATGTGTGCTTTGGATGGAAACCATGACAAAAACATGCAGAGTGCTGGGAGAGCCTCCTTCATAGAAATATTCAGAAGATTTTAATCCAATAAAAAACTTCACAAAGTGTTACTGGTACTACTTTAAAAACTTATGGTTCTTGTTTTACGGTATGTGTTTCCTAAATGCATTTATCATCTACTCTTAACTAGCAGACAAGAATAAAACTGAAAAGAGTTATTTGTGATTTTCAGGGGCACTGCAGCCCATCATATTAAGAAGAATAAGCCTGATCATTATAAAGCAGCGAAGTCTTCTCTCTTACCTTTTTTCATTTCTCAACTACTTCCTGTTTACTAAACGGCACAGTCAGATGCAGAAAAAGTTGGTGCTGCCCTAGTTTAGCAAGCTGCATTTTACAACACACATTCTTTATCTATATTTCAAAAGCTATCACTCAGCTGCAATGCCATTAGTAGAAGTTACACCTCTCACTGCACAGACCAAACCTCAGTGCGTGCATACCACGAAGTAAGGTGGGCACCAAATGACTCTTTAAAGGAACCTGGACATTTATTCAACGTCAGAAAGTGCTCAGATTAAGTAAATACATAACAAGAAAATATTATTTTTAAACTGCCTAGACTTTATTTATTTAGGTATCTAAAGAGCCAAAGTTGCCAGCTGGGTGTTCTCTGCGGCTGCAGACTGACCATGAAACATTACGGCTATAGACTAAAACTTTGAACAGATTAAAATCATGCATGTTTGTAAGCCTAAAGATGCTTCTAAGTGCATCTTTATACTTATTTAGGATGTTTCAGTATCCCACATTTAAAGATCCATACCCTTTTATCATCATCCTGTTTAGGCTTCCGTGTTTTCTGAAGCAGCTTCAGGCCTTCAATCTGTCTAACAAGCAACGGTATAGTCATCTTGAACCATAACAGCATCTAGAATCTGAGAGCAAGGAGTTACAAGTAGCCAACAAGCTAATACTGATGGATCATGGGTCTGGGGAAGGGGAACACAAAGGGTACTGTTACTGTCTTTTGATCAGTTACTGAATAGATGGTTTAAGAAAAAAGGTAGCAAGAAAAACAACAAGAATACAGCACACAAAATCTAGTCTCAAGGGTCTGAATGCCAAAACTACAAAGTACTCCAAAAGAGACAAAGTCTTTTACCCTGTCTATTTTTAAAGTGTTTTATTATTTCAGTCACATTTTCTCTGGCAAGCATCTATCAGCATTCTATTTTTCAATTACTGAGCCTCAGGAAAGAGCTGGCCCTCTAAGAAAGTTACAGGAGGATCTCCTTGGTTAACCCAGAAAAAAACAATCACCTTATGCCTGTTGGTTTGCCTCTTTAAAATTTTATACACTATTCCATTTCAATGTTTAATGATGTTGATATGTGAAAATGGGTAGAATTTGGCTGTTCTGTATTTTCACAGCTTCCACTGGCTGCTCTTTTCTATACCACTTCTAATAAAAAAGATGTGGTCAGTTTAATTAATCATAGAATGGTTTGGGTTGGAAGGGACCTTAAAGATCATCTAGTTCCAACCCCCCTGCCATGGGCAGGGACACCTTCCACTAGACCAGGTTGCTCCAAGCCTCATCCAGCCTGGCCTTGGACACTTCCAGGGATGGAGCATCCACAACATCTCTGGGCAACCTGTCCCAGTACCTCCCCACCCTCTCCGGGAAGAACTTCTTCCTGATATCTAATCTAAACCTCCCCACTTTCAATTTAAACCCATTACCCCTTGTCCTGTCAACGTGACTAACGTACCTTCCCCCAGCAGGACATTCAGCTACAATGCATACCTTTGCTGCAAATTACTACATTAATTTCTGTTGGCTGTGCTTTGAAAGGACCTAACTTATGCTTTCAATTCAAGGTTGAATGTGCAGCGCTGGCAGTGCCAAAATAACAGAACACCCCCTGATTCTGAAGCTGTTAGCATTAAGAGATGTATAATGATCTGTTAACTGGGAGAAGGAAGCAAAAATTCAACACAATTTTAAGAAAGATTTATCATCTTTATCATAGGAAGAGGAAGTTCGCGTTGTGTTTATTGCTTAGTAAAACTAACTAGATTCATTTACCTATTAGGTGAGTTCTCACACAGAGATACACAAACACTCCAAACAGCAACATAAAAACAGCTGTAACACAGACACCTTCTGGCACAACATTATCACTGTTCAGTCTTAGGTGTAAGCAATTTCAAAACGATCTACAAGTGATTGGCTGTAAAAAACCAGCAGACACTCAACTCCCCTTAAAAAAGTTTAGGGACACAACACCTGCAGCTTCTCCTGGTTGGATGTACGGATGATAGAAGTCAGTATATCTGGCAAAGCTTCTCTAGGCAGATTGTCCAAAAGACGTCTCAGCTTTGCGACTGCAGGAACGGACATATCCAGCATCTCAACCAACTGTAAGCAACACACAACAAACAATGTTTATGGTTGCTATGTTTCTTGTTCAATTATTTAAGTGAGTATCTGATCTAAAAATGATTGCACCTTTCAGTATGAAATGTATCTAGGTACTTTGCCAAAAACCTACTGAAATGAATAAAAGAAACCTTCACAAAAGAGGCACTAACTCAGCATAGGGTAATCACAACTTTGGGCTTTTTGCTTGTTCAAGAAGTCCAAAAACATCACTGTTCCTAGCACTTTTTTCAATGCTTACATCTCTTATTCTGCCCACGACCCCTGATAAAAAGCTGTCTTAATACTATGATGACTCTTGTTCTATACATCCTTTAAACTCAAGTTCATGATACCTGGGGACATCTGTTTACAAATCAAGGCTCTGGAGATTCTTTTCCCTTTAATAATTAAAACCCCCCACACCCTCACAAGAATCAATCCATTGTATATATCATAAATTATAGAAAAAAATATTCAAAAGTATCCCTTTTACTAGAATGTATTTATAGTACTGCTATTTATGAAATAACACCAACTTACTATCATACAGTTAGACTCATCCTACAATGAGCTCTGTAGACACACTGGAACTCCACAAAGAAACCTTAAGCTATAACAAAAATATTTTTTAGCAGAAGTACTGAAACTCTGTACTAGTCATGGAAAAAATATAAGAACTAGAGAGAGAGGGCAGGTAAGAGAAAACCCAACCCCTCCAAATATATATATGAATACATTGATACATGGTACATAGCACTACAAGTTACCTGCACTGCATACTTGTAAAATTGTTCTGACAACTCTCCCAACTCCTCCTCAGATTTCGGCTGATTAGTGAACTGCTCGAGTCGATCTAACTGTTCAACTTCGGCAACAGGATACGGCTTCTCTTTCAGCAACTGCAGGATCTGGAATCGGCAGAGGCCTGTAACCAGCAGCGTGTAATGTGGCTTGGGCCAGTTGCTGCCAACCACCTGAACTGCCAAGGCAGCAGTGCCAATCCTAAAAACAGATCAAATCTTCGTATTACCTGTCACCTTCCATGGAACATTCTGCATGCCCCTAATCAAGAAGCAATCACGCTACAGGTTGCAAGTACCTCCTGGCTCATGGTTTCTTACCGTAAAAGGTACCCATGTTATACGGTTTCCTTTGTAACACAGGTTACAAAACCAAACCCGAAAACCTGAAAATGAGTGAGCTAACTAAAAACTAACGAGGATAATACAATAGTCACTCAATTTAGAAATGTAATTTTTCCACGAATAATTCAATAGATCTTGCATGGGCAGGAATGATGACATTTCTGCTTAAACTACACGTACTGGAAAATTGAGTGTAATTTACAGTTCTTCAGTGAAACTGTCAGCCTCACTCTGAGCAAACATTTTAGATCACGTGTACCTGCTTAAGCAGTTTGGAAAGAGAAGTTATTGCCTTGCAAAACCTTACCAAGTCCCCTGACGTGACCAAGCTCTGACAGCGAGGGTTACAGCAGCAGAGTTTCACTCATGCTGTATCCCACAGAAATAAACTTCGTTTCCATTTTACGTGAATCGGGTCACCCCCGGGGTCACTACGTATTAGGTGACAGACGCTCCTGCGTTCTTCGACCGTATTTTCTTCTTCCACCTCCGTCTCCTTTTTGGCACGTTCCTACAGCCCCCGCCACCATGCGCC